TCTCTTTCCCTTTTCCCCTGAGTTTTTATTTTTTGCAAGTCAGCATGACTAATGAGATGGCCTTTTCACAATACTACATATTTATAGAAGATCTTGTCCCTCCTTTGCATGTAGCTGTAGTAAAACCTGATGTAGGTTCTTCTAACTCTTCCTCACTCTGGCTGAATGTGGGCTTTAAAAAGACAACAAGAAACAAGAAAACTCACAAACAGTAGCAGAGGGTGTAAAAAAAACTGTTTCTGAGCTTTGTGACCTGATCCCTACTGAATGGGAAAAAGAGAATGAAAACTGATGACCCGCCACTTTAACAGAGATCATGTGACTAAATGCTTAGGCACCTGGTCATGTGACCAACAACTTAGAGATCCCGAAGCAGCAGTTTCTCCTTCCTAGGTAAATGTTTCACAGCTTTCGCTGTCGCCTCTGGGGAATGGTGGCAAGGAATCCTTTGTCTGAAAGGAATAAATGCCGAATAACGTGAAACAAAAACAGAACAAATCTTCTAGAGCTTATTAAAAGTTTGGTTCCCCTTTAAGTCCTGTCTGAACTTAAAATGCTGTTTATTTTATTCCGTTCTTTTTTTTTTTGTTAAGAAATCATAAAGTCTGCTGTAGGTGGGAGTCTATTAAAGCATTTTAAGACTAAAATGAAAACATCACTTTAAGGAATATGAAATTAAGATAAGTCTATGAATACATTATACTCCGCTCAGTAAGCTTAATAAGCAAAAGCAGGTGTTTGAGGATTATTACCTTCATTTGCATATAACAAGCTCCCATTTAACAAATTACTTCATAGAAGTTCTTTTTTTTTTTTATGAAAACGCAGAGCATAGACTAGATAGACAAGAGATGGGGGGAGGGGTCATTTGCTCCTAGAAAATAATTTCACGCATTTTTTCAGTGCCCCTTGCTGCTTCCTAAGATCGGCCAAGCTTTAATAGGGACAAGCGAGTGTAGATTCCAGCTTTAGGGTCCAGTCACACCATAAAGAGTGCGTTTCAGAGCGTTCAGCCTCTGGAACGCACCTCAGCCGGCTCATTTTGTTTTGTCCAGTGCGATCTGCAAAAATTCCTGCATGCACTACTTTTTGCAGGCACTAATATGGACCGGTCACACTGGACCGGAATGCAGGCACTAATATGCGACGCGTTCAGATGCCGGCGACCGCACTGCGGGGGGTGTTGCTGCGGTGCCATTGACTTGAATGCACAGCCATGCCCCCTCCCGCCTCAAAACAAAGTGTGCCAGCCGAGTGGCGTTCCAATGCGTTCCAGAGGCCGAACGCTCTGGAACATACTCTTTATGGTGTGACTTAGGCTGATTGGTCATGTAACAAGGCCCCGGGAAAGTGCTGCCGTTAACTTATTGTGTTAAAAAAAATGCAATTATAGTAGATGTAAAGCCTAACTGACAGTAATTTGCCAAAGCGCTGTGTGTCAGAAACAATTGTCATACTTTTTTAAAGCTGAACTCCAGGCACAAAAAACTTTCATTGAAACATATTCTTCAATAGCCACAAAGTATATAAATCCGCTTTGCGTGCACGAAATCCTTGATCAAATCCAGTTATTACTTTGGAAATGTATGTAGCAGTTACAACATCAATGTGTTGTGCTTGCACAGAGAACAGAGCTGGGGGAGGGACCCAGCAGAACCCACACACTATAGGCTGCCTGCAGAAAACCACAGCAAGGGGCGGAGACAAGACCGGTGAAGATGAGGGAGCAGCAGTGATTGGTCTGTATTGCAGGAAGATCCAAGTGTCACACTGGATTACTGCACAGATCAGGAAGAAATACACAAAGAACACTAAGATTTGAGGAAAAATGTACGCGGCTCTTATATTTAGAGAGTATTTGCTTATCCCAGAGTTCAGATTTAAATTTAAAAAAAATGTAAAACAGTATTTTTTAAAAAAAATCTCCTGTAGCTTCTTTGAAGCTACTTTCTGTCTACATGCACTCCAGCGATAGCTGAATGGCATTCTCCAGGGTGGATTTCCCAATGTCAGAACATTTGTTTTTAGGTATAAATAAAATGAAGAAGGGTT